TACTATAGGGATATAATGTATGTCCTCATCTTTTCAGAGTCTGCTTAGAGTTAGCATTATACCACTGGGCACAGGATGCAGGAAACTCACATGCCTTCTAGAATGTGCTTTCCACACACACCACTTCCTTGATAGATTTCTTGTTGTCTTCAAGTCCATCATATCATAACTCACAGGCCTGTGTACTCTCCCCTGTAACTGAGTAAGTTGCTGCCTTTACACATCACTGTTGCCCCATGCCTTTGTTCGCCCTGTGCTGTTCCCTCTGCAAGGAAGGCAGTTTCTCCATCTCTGCAGAGAACACTCAGCTGCACATACATCCCTTAGCACTGAAGCCTCACTACACCCTGATAATTTTTTAAAATATTTATTTATTTGGTTGCATTGGGTCTTAGTTGCAGCATGTGGAATCTTCTGTCTTCACTATAGCATGTGGGATCTCTAGTTGCAGCATATGGGATCTAGTTCCCTGATCAGGGATTGAACTCAGGTCCTTGCATTGGGAGTTCAGAGTCATTTCCCTGGACCACCAGGGAAGTCCTAGGCCCTGATAATTTTAGTGGACAGTTCACTTCTCTGCATGCTAGAGCCCAGATACCCTGCTGTTACATCCCTTACCATCTCACCCTGATGGCCTTACATATTGCTGTCCCTGCCAGGCCGTGAGCTCCTTGAGGTCAGGAGTCATCCATGACTGTGTCCTTAGTGACCACGACTGTGTCAGACACACAGTCTTCAGTCAGTATGTGTTGACTCAAAGTATAAATGACAGTGGCTTCCAATCCCACCATATAGAACCCAAAGCTAGGAACAGAAAAGGTAAAAAAGATAAAAAAATTATCATAATAAGCTCTGACCTGGGACTTCCCTGGTGGTCCAGTGGATAAGAGTCCACCTGCTAGTGCAGGGGACATGGGTTCAATCCCTGTTTGGGAAGATCCCACATGCCTCGGGGTAACTAAGCCCATGTGTCACAACTGCTGTAGTCTGCTTGCCTAGAGCCCATGCTCCACAACAAGAGAAGCCCCTACAATGAAAAGCCCAAGCAAGCACTGCATCAAAGAGCAGCTCCTGCTTGCTACAACTAGAGAAAGCCCACGTGCTACAAGGAAGACCCAGCACAGCCAAAAACTTAAGTAAGTAATTAAAAAATAAGCTCTAACCTATGAACATTATAGAAAATCAGGACCATCCATTTCTGCCTGCATTTTCCCCACATGACCCAGTGTCATTTCATCTTCAGCAGAGACCTGTGTCATTCAAGGACGTGGTAGTGGGCTTCACGCAAGAGGAGTGGCATGGGCTTAATCCTGCACAGAGGGCCCTGTACCGGGATGTGATGCTGGAGACCTACAGCAACCTTGTCTCAGTGGGTAAGAACAGTTCTGCCGCACAATCTATATCATGCTTGAATGACCACCTTTCTTCTTTCAGTTGCTAAAATAACTGAAGTACCAGGACTTCCCTGGTGGTCCAGTGGCTGAGACTCCGAGCTCCTGATACCGAGGGCCCAGGTTCATTCCCTGGTCAGGGAACTAGATCCCACATGCAGCAACTAAGACTTGGTGCACTCAAATAAATAAATTAAATTATTTAATATTTTTAAAAAAGTAACTGAAGTACCGAATATTTTCTGTGTGCCAGACACTTCTAGCCACTTTGTTTATTATTCCTTTGAATATTTGTTTATTTGGCTGGGTCAGGTCTCAGTTGTGTCACGTGAGATCATTGTGTCACGTGGGACTCTCCAGTTGTGCTGCAGGGACTCAGTAGCTGGGGTGCACGGCTCCAGAGTGCATGAGCTTCAGTAGTTGCAATGTGCAGACTTAGTTTCTCCACGGCATATGAGGTTTTAGTTCTCTGACCAGGGATCAAACCCATGAGCCACCAGGGAAGTCCCTGGCCACTTGAAAAATATTAACTTGTGTAATCTGCATAAGTGCTTTACAAGGTAGGTACTGTTAGTACCACTCTTTTACCATTTTGGGAACTGAGGCAGACAGGTGAAGTCACTTGCCCAGTGTCACCCACCTAGTACATAGCAGAGCCAAAGTGGGATTTGAATGCCAGCAGTCTGGCTGCACAGTGTGCATTCCTAACCCTTATACTGTGTTGCCTCAGCAAGTGTGGCTTGAGTTTCAATGGTCCTGGATGACTAGTTCCTTTTGAGTTCTGGACAAGGTGTGTGTATAGTCTACTCCCAAGTACAATGTCTGTTGTGCAGCCTTTAATGTTGCCTGAGTGACGATCACGGAGCTTAGCCCAAGGCCTGGATCATTTCTCTGGAACAGGTTATGAAGGCACCAAACCATACGTGATCCTCCGGCTGGAGCAGGAAGAAGCACCCTGGATTTGTGAGGCAGCATGCTCAGGCTGCCACTGCCGGGGTAAGTATGATCAATCCAGCAAAAGATGTACTATGGGAGGCTGGCAGCTTTAGAATTTTGTTCAGGGTCCAGCTCTTCAAAGCCTTAGAGCTTTGAAGCAGCTGGAGACATTTCTCTGAGAGCTTTAGCCTTCTTGGTGACCCCTCAGTCTCTATGCATCCCACTCCATGTGCTTGCTCCATCTTCCTTTCTCCAGAATCCTTGATCTCTCTCTCTCTCTTGAGGTTATCAGTACATTTCTCTTTCACATTCAGGGATTCTTGTAAATAAGCTTCTGTGAATCTTCTGTTCTTGCTGGTCCCTTTCTAACCTCTACTCTAACAGTATTGGGGTAAAAGGCTCCAGACCTGCCTGCCATACTCACAGTCTCACTTCCCATCCTTTCTGAATCCCTTAAGTTATCCCTGAGTCCCTTAATTTCCTTAAGTCACAGAGGAGGAAGCAGTGAATCCCAGGAAGTGACCAGGAACAGTTGGATAGTGAAGAAGGCTGAGGTTAGCTTGTCTTAACCCCTTCTATTTAATATTCAGAATAACTGCCCCTCTCCCATCAGCTCTATAAAATATCTCAACAATAATCCCTGGTACTCTGAGTGTTGGTAGCCTACTCTTTAGGATGCCTCTGGACTTCTGCTTCTTCAATGAAGTCATGAGTTTAGCATGAAGAGTCAGTGCCATCTGTTTCCAGATCACTTTATGCCATTTATACTTGGTGTTGTAATCACATAGTTGAATTAAATATTAGATAAAACCTTCAAACATTCAAGTCATTTTCATGCTTCTCCCCAAAATAATGTCTTTAAGATTACCACTATCCAGCTTTCACTGGTTGTAGTAGTGACCGAAACAGCATTAGAATTCCTGGCCAACACTCAGTGTGTGCTCACTTTGTGCCAGGTCTTTTCTCAATCCTTTACATACATCAACTCATTAAGTCCTTAAAACACTTGTGAGGTGTTTATTACTAGCTTTTATTATCCTGTTTACAAATGAGGAAGCATCACAGAAAAGTTAAGAAACTTGTCTAAGAACATATAACAAAGTAAGGGACCAAATGAGGGTTTAAACTCAGGTGGTCAGGCTCTAGAACTAGTATTCTTTTTTTTTGGCCATGACACATGCATGTAGGATCTTAATTCCCTGACCAGGGATTGAACTTGTGCCCACTTCAGTGGAAGCTTGGAGTCTTAACCACTGGACTGCTGGGGAAGTCCCTAGAACCAGTATTCTTAACCATCACACTATGGTGCCCTCTGAGGTGTATTTTGCTTCATGAAATTGCTCATCAACCTTCCTGAAACCATTGTAACCTGGCTATCAACCTTTTCTTTCCCATCTTTCAAGAATTTTATATAATTGTAAAAAAGTTATCCAGTCAGCCCTCCTTTCTAAGTGTTCTATATCCTCTCATACTAATACCCTGGTTGCAACCCAGCCTTTTCCTTCCAAAGGACTGCTGTATTTTCTGTCTTCTGGACTTGATTCTCTTCTCAATGTTGTAACTCCCTTAAAGAGTTCATCCATTCTGAAATCATAAGATGCTCACAACTAGCCTCTTTGCCATTTTACCAACTTTTATCCCCCTTGTACCACCTAGGCTCCCCTGCCCACCATTTTACCAGTCTGTGGATCATCTCCATAGTTGTATCCACTCATCCCTGGTTTTGGGGGGACAAAAACTGAAGTCATCCTCTTTTCTACTTGCTACCTCCCCTCCACCACACATGCACACAGGTGCATGCATATACCTACCTCAGCTTACTTCTCATTCCAGTGTTTGTCTACCATGAACTCATTTTGAGTCTTCTAATTGTTCTATGCATATGTGCTAGTTCTGTTGTTTTTCCTTTGAAAAATGACTTTAAATCTTCCTGTCTACTTTTCATTTTCCACTGACTTCTCCTAAAATTGAGCCCAAATTATCTCATGCCTGAACATCTTTAAGTCAGGAATTCTTAATCATTTTTGTGCCATAGAGCTCTTAAGCATTCTGGTGAAGCCTAATAGATTCCTTTTTTTATGTATGTAAAAAAAATCCTTAGGATTACATGAAAAACAAATTACTAAAATACAGTGATTAACTGAAATAAAGTTGGAAAATGCAATGTCAAAATATTAATGATATTAGTGGATAGTAGTAGATATACTTCCTTATTAATACATTAAATAGTGAGATATAACATCAGGTCAAGTAATTGTCATGACCTCAAAATAGAGATGATTGTAAACACATTTTGAGAAATCTTTGACAGCTATAATGTGACATGAAAATACCTTATTCACAAAGTTACAGGAGCTAATACTAGTGTGTTTTGGTGTTCACATTCATAATCAAAGGAAATGCTCAATTGTATTTAGAACTTAGTGAAAATAAAGCTGTAATTTTTTTCCCCTATCCAAATTCACAGCTCCCCAGATTTCTGTATACCAAGTTAAGAACTCCTGCTTTAAACTCTAAGTTAGTTTGGTTAATTCCTTCTTTTATCTAGTTCATCTTAGAGCCCTGGCCATTTATATTATGTCTAACTAGCTCAACATGATAAGCTCTCTGACTGCTGTATCAATGCTTGTCAAATCATAATATGATAAGCATTGGCAGTTTGTTAAAAAGCAGAATCTGATTCTGTAGGTATAGGGGTGGGGCCCAAGATTCCGCATATCTGTCACAATATCAGTTCCAAGGTGAGACTGATGCTGACCATTGAGAACCATGCACTGGTAACAAAGTGCTATATGACATTTAAACCTCTTTCCTCTGTAACAGGGATCAGCAAACTTCAGCCTATAGGTTAGCCACCAAATTTGTGAATAAAGTTTTTATTGGAACACAGGTGTACCCTTATATTTACATACTGTCTTCTCGCCATACAGTGGAAAATTTAAGTAATTGTGACCAAGACCATATGGCCTACAAAGCCTAGAATATTTACTCTCTGATTCTTTAAGAACATGTTTGCCAACTACTGCTCTATAATATCCTCTCTTCTTTAAAATTATACCTATCTTCCATGACATGGTCCATTCCATTCATGCCAGTTTCTGAGTTTTCTATTCTCATATGACATTTCCCTGCCTTGGTGCCTTTAGTTATGATCCATGCCCTCTATTCATATACTGTGCACCCTTAAAATTTTTAGGGCATTTCCCAAATCGTTTTATTCCAGATCATAATCACAGATTAATAAGGAAAATTTTCCTATACTTTCTCCAGAAAACATTTGGCAAGTTAATGTCCACAGGAAAAGGCGGCAAGGCACACTTTTGAGGCAAGGTCCATTCATCAGCAGGAAAACATTCCCCAAGGAAAGAAGCCATGCATGTAATAAGTGTGGGAAAATATCACATCTGAGCACTGACCTTTTTCCTTCAATTAAAAACTCCAGTAACTGGGACTGTTGTGGAAAGAGTGTGAACAATAATTTAGACTTAAATGGTTTTAAGAAAAACTACACAAAAAAGCAAGATGAGTGCTATGGATATGGAAAACTGTTACAACATACAAAGCAGGATAGAAGACCAAATGAAGAAAAATTCTGGGAATGCAGTCACTGTGAAAAAGCTTTCAGCCATAGCCCAGCGCTTATGTATAAACCCCCAGCAACCAATTCTCTTGTGTACAAACGTAAGAGGGTTCCACCTACGGAGAAACCCCACGTCTGTACTGAATGTGGAAAAGCCTTCTGCTACAAGTCTGAATTCATTAGGCATCAAAGAAGTCACACTGGGGAGAAGCCATATGGATGTACTGACTGTGGAAAAGCCTTTTCACATAAGTCAACCCTCATTAAGCACCAGAGAATACACACTGGTATTAGACCCTTTGAATGTTTTTTTTGTGGGAAAGCCTTCACCCAGAAGTCACACCGCAGAGAACATCAGAGGACACATACAGGAGAGAGACCCTTTGTGTGTAATGAATGTGGGAAGTCATTTGGTGAGAAGTCATACCTCAATGTACATCAAAAAATACACACAGGAGAAAGACCCTATCGTTGTAGAGAATGTGGAAAATCTTTCAGTCAAAAGTCATGCCTCAATAAACATTGGAGAACTCATACAGGAGAAAAACCCTATGGATGCAATGAATGTGGCAAAGCATTCTATCAGAAGCCAAACCTTAGTAGACATCAGAAAATTCATGCTAGGAAGAATACTTATAGGAATGACCTAAAAATAGTAGGAAAGCCTTGAGCAGGATATCCTATTTCATTATATGTGGAGGAATTCATCCTTAGGAAAAATCTCATATTTAATGAATTTTGACAAGGTGTTTCATCATAAGGCAAGTCATATTCCAGTTGTGATAGAAAATTTTATACAAAAGATTATACAAAAATACTCTATATTTAAAACATAAACATGATCACTTTGGCTTATGAAAGTTGAAAATATATTAAATGGAATGATTACAGAACACAAAATATATGTGAAGAAAATTAAAAGTATATTTTGGTATGTCCCACAGTGACCCACATAATAAGCACTATTTATATTTTAGAATTATAAATGTGAATTTAAGTTGAATATCAAGCACATATTTAGAATGCCATTCACCAAATTTTTTCACTCTAAATATCACCATTGTCTTTTGGTGTCTTTCCATACATGTGTGTGCGCTCAGTTTTGTCCAACTCTTTGTGACTCCATGGACTATAGCCCACCAGACTCCCCTATCCATGGAATTTTCCAGGCAAGAATACTGGAGTGGGTTGCCATTTCTTCCTCCAGGGGATCTTCCCAATCCAGGGATTGAACACATGTCTCCTGAATTGGCAGGCTTATTCTTTACCACTGAGCCACCTGAGAAACCCTTTAACAATACAAGCAGCAACAATAATAATAGTAGCATGACCAACTATTTTTTTAAAAAGCTTTAACATATTAAGCCAGTATATTTTCTCTGTCTTTTTGTAATACATGTAAATGGCCATAACATTTGTTGTTGGTCCCTTTTCTGAATAATAATGTTTTTAATGTCTTTTGTTAAATTAGCCAAAAACTTTATTAAATGTTTTTAACTTTAAAAAGGCACTTATTTTGTCTTTATTATTTTAATATGTAAATATATTATTAAATAAGTAAACATTATTTGTTTTGCCTTTTTTAATGTTAAAGACAAAGCTAAGGAATAGTTTTACAACTCAACACTCAGTGAACAAAATGATGACTCAGCATATTCATTACTTAATAGAAAGTAGTGTTGGCACTAATGGTAAAGAATCTTCCTGCCAATGCAGGGGATGTAAGAGGCGAGGGTCTGATTCCTGGGTCAGGAAGATCCCCTGGAGGAGTGCATAGCAGCCCATTCTAGTATTCTTGCCTGGATTTGTACAGAGGAACCTGGCAGGCTACAGTCCCTAGGGTGGCAGAGTCAGACATGACTAAAGCAACTTAGCACATGCACACAGAAAGTAGTGTGGCCCTGATATATTGTGCATTATTCCTGTTTTCTTAGTCTTGCTTAAAATACCTTGCAGCAAATTAGTAGGAGAGACACTTTTTATGAGTCTTATAATTCAGAAATATTTCATGCACAGACCAATGAAGGAGAATTCCTTTCTTTTTTTCCCCTCCAAATTAGTTCAGTAACATTGATTTTTTTTTTTCTTCCCTATAAATTTCCCTGTTAGTGTCCTGGACGCTGCAATCCAAGTTTTTTCATCATTCCAATTCAAGTCCATCTCTTTGAGCTGCCATGTCATTTGTATAAGAAAACAGATGGTCACATTGTTCAAGGTTTGTCTCCCTGTAAGAATGCCTAATCTAGAACAAAAGAGAAAACATAATCAAAGATAAAGATGTATTTAAAAGAATTGATAAGGAGAGTTCCCCAGTGGGCCAGTGATTAGGACTCTACCCTTTCACTGCCAAGGGCCCAGGTTCAATCCCTGATCGAGGAACTAAGATTCCACAAGTTGGAAGGCATGGCAAGAAAAAAAAAAGAATGGTAAGATATTTCATGCAACTGTAGATCAACATATTTTTGAAACAGGAAATAGATGCTATTCTAGCAAAATGCAAGCTATGAAAAATTGCAATACATAGTGGAAAACTTGATGGAACAATTACCATTGGAGAATTTTAAAAGTGATGAAAGATTCATGATTGAAAAATGCTCCAGGCCTAGATGATTTCACGATTCGTTCTATCTAACTTTTAAAGAAAGAGTAACTCCAGTGTTAGTTAAAATATTTCATCCTATAGACTATGCTCCCCAACTTCTTTTATGAAACCAGAACAAGTTTTAACACCAAAACCAAATAAACGTAGTTGGAAAACAGGAAACTCCAGACCATCCTTACTCATGAATATAGGAACAAAAACTGTAATGAGAATAATAGAAAACAGAATTTACTAGTACACCTAAACAGCAATATATTATAATGACCAAGGAAAAGTCGTCATGATATGAAGAGCCAATACAAGAGTAATAGGAAACATATCAATAAAATTAACATAGGAGAGAAAATGCTATCAATAGTTGCTGATAAGGCATTTAATGAAATTTATAAACATTTATAATCTAATAAAATATAAATTAAATTATAAGAGATGATAGCTACCTAGAGTTTCTTTACCAAAACCCTATATATATGTTATGCTGAAGCCATTTTCTAAAATCAAGAATTTAATAGTTTAATAGATGTCCACTGTCATCTATTTTTACTAAAGATTACCTTGGAAGTTCCAGTGAAGGTGATAAGAAAGAAAATTGAATATTGTTATAAGGCTTAAAAAAAGGTAAAACTGTTTCCTTTTGCTGATGAAGGGATTGTATATCAGTAAATTGAGAGACTTATGATTGTTTTGAGTTAAAAAGTTAATTTTCTAAGAAGACAGAGTATAGAAATCAAGAGATTTTCTCCATAAACATCTTATAATTTGTATGTGCTTCTTTTGGAATTACATTAAGTCCCACTGATTTTTCTTTTCCCCCCTGCAGCTATGGGATTTCAGTTCTCTGACCAGGATTTGAATTCCGGCCATGGCAGTGAAAGCATTGAATCCTTAGCATTAGACCACCAAGGAACTCCCTGTTTTTTTTAAAACTTATGTGAAATGATCTTAAATTCCATATGGAAAAATAAATGCCTGAGAATCTAGACGAGTATAAAAGAGAAAATTTCATGCCAGTGTCAGAATATAAGATGAAGTTATTCTAAGCAAATTAATATAGTATTGGCAAAAGAACAGATAAATACATCAATGGAACAGAATAGCAAATACTGAATAGACTGCAATGTATATGATTTTTATCACATATGGAAAGGGTACAGTTTCAAACCATAGGGGAAAGGAACTGTTTATCTAAAAAAAAGAAAAATTCTGGCACAACTGGCTTTTAATCAGGAAGAAAGTAAAGTTGAACTAATAGCACAAACCATATGAAGAAAACTCCAGAAGAACTTAAGATTTAAAATTTTAAAATAACAATAAAATTCTTGAAATAAAAGGAGACTACATGTACAATCTAGAAACTGGATTTACCAACACAGGACTCTCAAAAACTGTTAAATGAATATTTGACTACATGAAAATCTCAATCTTTTGCACAGCAAAAGATGCCATTAACAGCCAGTAAACAATGACTTGGGGAAAAAATATTTGCAGAGTCAGTTAGAGAAAAAGTGCTCTTCATATTGACAAGAAAAAATAGCCCAGTAACGAAACATGGCAAAGAATATAGTTGAGAGAAGAACAAATCCAAGTGACTTATGGGCTTATTAAAAAATGTTTAGCCTTAGTAATTGCTGGAGATTGCAGATTACAGTTATGAGGTAATGATATACAATCAGGCTGGCAAGAAAGAGCAGGAATGCTCTTTGCTGTCAGAAACAAAGAATGAACTTAGCCTTGCTGGTAGAAACATAAATTCTTACAGCTCTTTTGAAAAGCAATCTGACATCTATTATAACTGAAAGTACATCTATTATAAGTGAAAGTACTCACTTTAGGGGATCTTCTCTTAGAAATAAAACCCCAATATATAAAGGACATCCACATTTATTGTGATGCTGTTCCTAGTGGCAAAAAACACTGGAATCAAAATAAATGCTGGAAATTGGAAGAGAGAAGGAGATAGGGATATCAGAAGAGGGAAGGAACTATATAGTATGTCCACTCCATAGAATGTATATATAGCCATTAAGGTGGACAGGTTAAAACTATGCTAGTGAACTTGAATGAAACCACAATGTTTTCTTGAGTGAAAAAAGCAAGATAAAAATGTGTGTAAAACATGACTCTGTTTTTGTAAATCAGTTACAAAATGCTTCTAGGTGTCTATGAGTGATAAACATGTATCATATGTTTGTGTAATATTTCATATGCATGGAGAAAAGTATAGAAGAGTATGCATTGTGTTGGGGGGTGGTGGGTGATGTAGGTGGGTAATGGGAGATTTAGGGAAAAAAAGCCCAGAAGAAAAAATATGTAAACATCTGAACCACATATGATATGTCCAATGTATGATTAAGAAATTTGAAGGGTTAGTAGAACTTTCATTTGTGGAGATATTTGTGGTATATTGTTAAGTTTAAAAGAGAAAATTTCAGAATAATGTATATGAATCTATTTTTTAAATTAAAAACCTATATGTGTATATATGCATGCATGTGTTTATATGAACAAAGAAAAGTGTGGAGGGATATAAAACAAGGTGTTAATTAACATTGATTACCCTGGTGGGGAACAGAAATAGTTGTTTAATTTATATACCTTTGTATTAAAGGTTTGACTTGTTACAAACATATATAACTTTTGTAATTTGAAAAGCAAAATAAAGGGGGAAGAAGTGTTTTGAAATACATGAAGCCTGGGAAATGTTTTCATTTTCTGATAAGATGGCACCCTGGCCTAGTCTATTATCTTTCCCCTGATCCAGTCTTTGGGATATCACCAGAGTAAAAGAAAACATGTAGATCTAAAGAGCAAAAGGCAATACTTCGAGAAATCCCTCAAGTAGAGAGATTTTTTTTTGTTTTATTTTGAAATAATTTGACTTTCAAAAAAATTGCAAAATAATTCCCAAAGTCTTCACTCAGCTTCCCCCAATGTTAACACTTTGTATAATCATAATACAATGATCAAAACCAGGAAATTAACATTGATATACCATTATAAGCCCTTTCTGATGTTCTTCGTCTAGTCCAAAATCCAGTCCAGATCCCACACTGCTTGTTATTTCTCTTCAGTTTCCTCCAGTCTATGATAGTTCCTCAGTCTTTTGTTTTTCATGACTTAGACATTTTTGAACAATACTGGCCAGTTATTTTGTAGACTATCCCTCCATTTGGGTTTGATTCAGGGTTATGCATTAATATTACAGAAGAGATGCAACTTCAGTTCATCATATCAGCGGGCACATGATGGTGATAAATCTTATTGGCGATGTTAACCTTGGTCAAGGTGCTCACTGTCAGATTTCCCTACTCTAAAGCTACTGTTTCTGCCTTTGTAGTTAATATCTAGGGCAAGATACTTTGCACATAATTCGTTTTTATTGTTTTTTATTTTGTTTATTTTCGGCTGTGTTGGGTCTTCATTGCTGTGCCTAGGCTTTCTCTAGTTGCAGCAAGTGGGGACTACCTTCTAGTTGCGGTGTGAGGGCTTCTCATTGCAGTGGCTTCTCTTATTCTGGAGCACAGGCTCTAGAGCACAGACTCAGTAATTGTGGCGCAC